TAGTGTGATTACATCCTCTACTTGGGAGAACAATTGGAGGAGCATTGTTGGCTTTATTTTTTCTGGGAATGGACAACATATATGACATATTGAAGAAATTCCTCTGTACCTGCTCCTGAGGAAAGGGATGATCAGTCCATGAAACGTGTAGAGTTGGCTCATCAAAGTCACCGCCATGTGACATGATTACATTAACTAGTGTACGGACATGAGAGAGGCGACTGTAATTAAATAGTTGGAAAAGTCCTCATTGGATCCCACCAGTCTGACCAATTTGAGATCCATCTCCTTGACCGTATTTACAATCTTCTTGAGCACCTAGTCTACAACCGCCTGACTTGCCACCTTACCATTAAAGGAGAACTATGAGATGAGTGCTTTTCACTCACCTCATAGTTCTAGCCGACCTGTGACAATGAAACTGTCACAGGTCGGCTCAGTAGATCGGGAGGTGAGGGAACACATACCGGCGTTCGCTCACTTCTCTATCCTGTCAAGGCTCTCTGCCGTGACAGGGGAGGGGCTGAATTCCCCCCTCCCTGCTCCGATCCTCCAGCGCTGACTGATAGAACGGATGGGGGAGGGGGCGGGTACAGCTGGCTCTGCCTCTAGATAGGCAGAGCCAGCTGTCACTCACGCAGCTGGGCAGATCCAGACATACTGAGCTTAGGGTGACGGGAGGACGCTAGTTTGTGTCCTCCCGTTACCCTAAGGAGAACTATGGGGAAAAGCCCTAACCCCATAGTTCTCCTTTAACAACCTCTTGGTCATTATGTTAGGACCATGATTTATATGTTGGCCCAGTCCACTGTTGGTCACCTGGCACCCTCAATGTATGGTCTAAAAGCCGTTTGGAGCGTGGCCTGGCATTGCATTCTCTGAGCACTTCATGTCTGGCGCCACATTCAGTATGGACCGCCACCAAAGGACCAGAGGCTCCTGCAGACTACCAGGACCATCGTTCGGTTCTGATCACACAGACTCTTAAAAATAGCATTCCTCCATCTTTCCCGAGCTTGCAGAAGACCGTCACCCCCCCTCCTAGATCTTACTGGTAGCTGCAAGGTGATTACAAACATTTCCTGCGGTATTTAACACACGAGCGAACAAAATGCTGTTTTTGAAAAATGAGCTCTTAGCGCTTCGATGACAGGTCCACTTTAGGTGTGCTTAGATTAAATGAAATTATGCGCTCGCCCCACCGGTGTCCAGGAAAGAAAGTAAGCAGGGAGAGCACGTCTCAGCAATAAATGTGCAGAACTGCAAGAACCCCCCTCAGGTCCTACACTAATCCCCGTAGCAATAAGTCTCTGAGCAATGCCCCTTTGATGTGCTGGGGGAGTTATGACAGAAGTATAATAGGATTAAAGGATCACAGGGAAGGAACAATATTTAACACATAACATCGGTATTAAAAAAATCACCTCCCCCTCGGAGGACTGCGCTAATGACAGCCGGGGGGCTTCGAGATTAAAACCACAGCAGTTGGAGGTGGTCGGACCTGTGGTTGTAGGAGGGTGGATATAGCGGCACATCATCGGGGGCCAAGAACCCAGAAGATACAGCTGGATCCAGATGCCTTCAGAAAGGTAGATGGTGGGGTGGAACCATGCATGTGGCTGACCACAGCAGGACATCCCTGGATTCACTGGGCATGTGGGTATGTTTATTGTGGGTAACCCCAGAGACATATATGTAGACATCCAAAAGCCCTGAGACTTGGATGTGCTATTAGCAGCCCCAGCAGACTCAACTGTCACTCAAGTCACACTCTATAGTATCCTTCTTCACTCCTCCCCCAACTACATATAAGGTTATGTATGAATGTCAGGGGAGGGGCAGAAGAGCTGGGCCAGTACAGACAGTAACTAGACACCTAGAAAGGGAGGGGGAGAAAGCTATGACGTACAATGAGGGTGGGGGCTGTTCTAAGGAATTGACTCTTCCTGGAGTTGTCAAATTTCCTAGGAATTTAAAAGACACATTGCAAATGAATACAAACAAAATCACTAATAGAAAGTAAACACAGTGCAAGTATCTGTTTAATATAATTCCTATTTCTGTATTTTTTTCTTTATTTTTTTTTAAGTTGGTGACAGGGACTCTTTAATATCTCCCTGGAGTTTAAGTTTAACACACCTTTACATATATATATACACACACACTATATTGCCAAACGTATTGGGACATCCCACCAAATCATTGGAATCAGGTGTTCCAATCACCTCCATGGCCACAGGTGTATACAATCACGCACTTCGGCATGCAGACGCTTCTACAAACATTTGTGAAAGAATGGATCGCTCTCAGGAGCTCAGTAACTACAAGCGTGGTACCATGATTCTGTGCATGGCGGGCGCCCCAATACTTTTGGCAATATAGTGTATATATATAGCATCTGCCAAAACTTCAAAAATACTAATGTTTCTCTTCAAAATATTACATTAAAATAAAATATTATTTTCGGAAAGAATAAAATGTAATAAAATAAGAAAGAATGAAATAAAAACATAAAAATACAATAAAAACAAAAGAGCCAATCTGTTTTGTTTTTCTTTTATATAAAAGACATATCAGAAAACATGTATGATAGAACATATAAAAAAAAATCACATTTGACTGTACAAGTCATTTACATAAAGTTCTGTCTTGTGAACAATCATTTACATTATTTCTTCATATATATCGCAGGCTACGGGACTAGATTACCCATGACCGCTCTCCGTGCCCCCACAAGGCTTTGCTGTCGGTGTGGGGCATGGGAGGACCAATCAAATCGAGTCTGGCAGTGACCCAGCTTTCATTGCAGCAGTATCATAAAAAAACATTTTTTTTTTACAAATATACTAATTGAAAAAAAAAAAAATTCCCAGCAGATCCATCGTATTGTACAGTAAAGAGATGACAGATGTTTTTCAAAGAGGCTTCCACAATGGAACAAAGACTTATCAAAACAAAACAAAAATCTTATTCACTGATCTATGAATAGCCTCTTATTGGCATTGTACGATGTCACTGTTTAACATTTACAAAGACAAAGGCAACAATCAAGACATAAATACAAAAAAAAATGACAGTGAATATGCTTCACAAAAAAAAACCACAAATCAGATTTTGGTATCGTAATAGAAAAGAAAAAAAAATATTTTAGTGCACTTTCGGATTTATTTTTAAAAAAAAAGAAAGAAAAAAAAATTAGAAATAAATAAAAATGCATTTATAAAATGTAATCTCTTTGAGATTTTGCTCTGTAGCATAAAAATGAATCGAGCCGAGGATGGCATAACATTTGTTTTATCTTTTTCTTTATTTATTCATGTTTATTAAATTTTATCTTTATATTTTTTTATTATTTTTTTTTTTAAGGTATGGGAATTCATTTCTTCAGAAGTTACTGATTCGGAAATGGCTACAGCCGTCCTAAGGGTAACACAACCTAAAGGTTGTGTTATTGATACCTCCCAACTGTGGCCATTTCAGCAAGACAGCTCAACTGTGGCTTAAAAAAGGGGGGTGTGGCTTGTTTCTAACTATGATTGTGATTGGGTGGTTTATATTTGGCACTGGGAGTGTTGTAATATCACTCCAAAGTGTCCCAATTTTGTACATGTAGGTTGTGGGAACTTTACCAACTTAAATGTCAACCAGTTAGGGTGTAGATCCATTTTAAAGGGTTATACCACTTCCTCCTCAAATCTGCACCCTCTATACCCCCCACCTGGGTAAAAGGATGACCAATGAGTGCTCGCTATGTGTGAGCATTATTCAAGATTTAGAGTGCCAAGCTGCAGTTTGGCTTACAGTGTACTGGGATTTCACACCAGCTATGGGGGGGAAAAAAACTCACAGCTAA